AAAGATTCATTTTCATTTTGCATTTTTGGTGAGTTGTGCAGCAAGGCCCATACTGGAACTTTTTGAACTTACCTGTGGTCGCAATTCCAGGTCGGGCCATTAAAAAATGGCAGATACATCCAGGAGGGTCCTCATGGGACTTCAACTTACCTGCCGACGCAATTGGAGTCAGGTTGATCGAGGCCGGGATGTAAACGAGGTCAGATGCGCCCAGCAAATTCCTCAGCTGAGTACACCCTGAGTCCAGCGCTCATGCCCCAACGCTCAGCTGCTGTTTCCTTCCCCCCCCCCAACAATATTCTGAAGGGAACCAGCCCTGAGATATCCCCCAATATTCTGTTAGACTGATTGCTAGATGACCTGTTACACCACCGAACCTTGTTTCTTTCTTCTACTCCAAGTGTTTTCTTTGAGAATAATCGTTTTTGGTTTTGCGTTGTGTGTGCAATCAGACTCGTTATCTTTCACACTTCTCATGCATGTAAACAGGTTGCGCAACAAACTGGCGACAAGCGCCCACTCAGAACTCCGGGATATAGTAACCAAGAACGCAGTTCAGATACAAGTTCACTTCACATGGCTATCGCGGCACTGCGCCTGTACAACTCTCTGTTCACACGCACAGGATCACCCTGGATATCTCACACGCACCCCACTGTACACACGTGCACACACACATGCTACACCCTTCTAACAGCTATGGCGGCTATGGCCGCTGCTATCCCTATCGCTATGGCTAAGCTCCTTCTCGCCCACTTCGTCTTGGGGCTCACTGCAGACCACCTCGCACAAGTCGCTGTGGCAGCGCTTCCGCATGGCTTACGCAGGGATGAATGAATGGCTGGGCGCTGCCTCTTGATTTATACTTCTGTAGCTCGTTGGTCTGCCCCTCTCCCATGCCCCTGGTGCAAACAGTCCCACACGGTACTTGCTTGACTGGACTGTGACTGACTGGGACCGGTACTGCTGACTGCATGGGTTTGCATTGCCAGCTCGATGCAGTTGCACCGCCGACGTACCGCAGCTGGGCTCACCACTTGCCCACTTGCCTCTGTCTAAACGTGAGCAAGTTCGAAAGGCCACTACTGGGACCTTCCTGAAGGCTGGAGACTTGGCCTTTCGAACACTGTAGCAGCTACGACCTTGACCTTTCAGGACTGTAGCAGCTACGACCTTGACTTCTCAGGACACCTACAGCTACGACCTCTAGGCCTCACTAAGACCTCTATCCAAGAGGTCTACAGATCGAACCCCTACCACCTACAGACCTACGACAGCCTACCAACTGTTGTGAATACACAGGTCACGGGTTCAACTCTTGGGGTCAACACAGATACTGTACACGGGCAAGGTAAGGACTAGGGATCAAACCCTGGGATCTGCATTCGCTACTGCTAACAGGTGAATACCGTTTCATGTGAAATGACCCACACAATTGCAGTCCGAAAAGACAGTGAACTTTTGGAGGAAAAGGTGCCCCGTTAATCTTTCGCTCAAGATTCCGATTTTACGTCTATTTGTTGTGCTTTTCTGAAAATGTTTGTGATCAACCAATATTGAGTTTGTCATCAACCAATATTGTATGGATCCCAGATGCTTACTTGATGAGCTTTGACTCGTTGTGTCTGCGCGTATGGAAGTGCACATATGTGTGGGTGTGCGACTCAGTTAAGTGGGCCGAGATGGGGTTATTAAGAATTGGCAGGTGCACTGAGATGGTGTGATTGAGAAATGGCCACGGGGAGTTGTTGGAAGTCCACTTCAATTACAGCAGTGCCACTGTTGTTAAGCAGGTCTTGTAATGTATGAATAATCTGCTTGGCAGTTGCTGTTCACCCAGGGGAGTTGCCGGAGGTCATGTTCTGATGTGAACCGTCACGCTCGGCGAGCATCTTGGAGCATCTCCTGGAAGCCAAAGCCAAAGAAGAAACAAAACAAGTGTCAGAATCACTTTGTGGACAGTGTGGCA